AAAGGACAATATGCTGGGGGCTGGAAACATTTTTTGGTATCGGATTTCTGTTTGAATGTTTACTTTGAGCTTTTGGGACCAAAAAGGTCCTCTGAATACTAGAATCTTTGTATTGCTAGATATTCTCCCTTGTTCAGTCCTTGTCTCTTCAGGCTAGTACTATTGCAGCAGCTGCCTACATAGTCTCCCAACTGCTGGATTCTCTGGCCCATCTGCCAGGGCCTCCAAGTTCTCCCACACAACACGCTCTGGTTTAGCATTCTCAGTATCTAATTCTGGCATGTCACTTTATTCAAGAGATTTCTCCATTGCCTGTGGTTTGAAGTTGGAACCCAAACATCTGTTTTCCTGGGCTCATTGCAGTCTGGCTACCAAAAGCCTTATTTTCTCCTACCCACCAGTATGACCTTGTTATCATAAGAGCTAATCTCTCACCCTTCCCTAATCAAGGCCTCACTGGGGCTGTCTTCCTGCCTTTGCTCACGTCATTTTCTCATTTCTTCCCTGCCAATCCTTCCCACTCTGGAGCCCCAAATGACCTCCCCTTTCTCTGAATACATATAATAACTATGGAGTCCTAGGGTGGCTCTGTGGGCTAATGCGTCAGACTGCAAAATCATTTGAACTGCAAGGTTGGTGGTTCAAGCTCACCAGCTGTTCCTTGGAAACCCTATACAGGGTCGCTATGGGTTGGAATTGATTCAATGGCACTTAACAACATCTAGATGATGGCTTTTAGAATCCCTAGTTTATACAAATAGGTAACATAATCAGATGCTAACTGAAAGGTTGAAGTTTTGGGTCCACCCAAAGGTACCTCTGAAGAGAAGTCTGACAATCCCCTTCCAAATAATCAGCCACTGAAAAGCTTAAGGAAGACAGTTCTAGGCTGGGTCACCATCAGCAATGTTGAATCAACAACAGTTTTGTTTTCTCCTGGCCATATCTTTTGGCAGCCAATCATCTGTAAACCAACAACTGTCCTTGATCTCATTCCTACTCCCAGGGACCCTTGGCAACAGAGTAGAACTGCTCCATAGGGCTACTAAGGCTGCAGATCTTTATAGAAGCAGCCAGATTCATCTTCCTCCCAAGGAGTGGCTGGTGGGTTTGAACAGACAGCTGACTTTTGGGTTAACAACTGAGTGCTGTACTACCAGGGACCGTTAATAATAATATGTTGTTGTTAAGTGTCGTCAAGTCGGTTCTGACCCATAGCGACCCTGTATAGGGTTTCCAAGGAGCAGCTGGTGAGCTTGAACCACTGGCCTTGCAGTTCAAACAGCTTTGCAGTCTGGCGCATTTACCCACAGCGCCACACCAGGATGCCAATGTTGTTGTTGTTGTTGTTATGTGCCGTGCCAATAGAGCCCCTTAATCATACAGAGCCCCTTGTGGTTAGCAGTCCAATGCTGAACCCACTGCACCACAAGAATCCTTAGTCATGTATGTTGTTGTTGTTATGTACTGTTGATTTGGTTTCAACTCATTGAGACCCTCTATAGAGTTTCCAAGGAGCATCTGTTGTTATTGTTTAGTGCTGTGAGTCGGTACCTATGAGTATATAGCAACCTAATGCACAGCAGAACCGGACACTGCTTGGTTCTGCGCCAACCTCACAATCATTGCTACACTTGAGCCCATTGCCAATCCACCTCATTGAGGGTCTTCCTCTCCTTTGTGGACCCTCAACTTTACCAAGCAAGATGTCCTTCTCCAGTGACTGGTCCCTCCTGATAATATATCCAAAGTCTGAGAGAGAACATCTGGTCATCCTGCCTTCTAAGGAACATTTTGGCGATACTTCTTCCAATGCAGATTTATTTGTTCTTTTGGTGGTCCATGGTACTTTTAATATTCTTATCCAACACCATAACTCAAATGCATTAATTCTTCTGTGGTCTCCTTTATTCATTGTCCAAATTTCACATGCATATAAGGTTATTGAAATTACCATATAGCTTGGATCAGGCACACCTTGGTTCTTAAACTGACATCTTTGCTCTTCAACACTTTAAAGAAGGCTTGTGCATCAGATTTGCCTAATGCAGTACGTCATTTGATTTCTTGACTGCTTCTTCCATGAGTGTTGATGGTTGATCTGAGCAAAATGAAGTCTTTGACAACTCCAATCTTTTCTCTATTAATCTTGATGTTATTTATTGGTCCAGTGGTGAGGATTTTTGCTTTCTTTATATTGAGATGCAACCCATATGGAAGGCTGTGGTCATTGATCGTTATCAGTAAGTATCTTAAATCCTCTTCACTTTCAGCAAGCACAGTTGTATCATCCACATATTGCAAGTTGTTAATGAGTCTTCCTCCAATCCTGATGCCACGTTTTTCTTCATATAACCCACCTTCTTGGATTATTTGCTGAGCATACAGGTTGAATAAGTATGGTGAAAGAATACCACCATGGTGTACACCTTCCCTAATTTTAAACCAGTGTTCCCATGTTCTGTTTGAACAACTGCCTGCTGGTCCAGGTATAGATTCCTCATGAGCACAATTAAGTGTTCTGGAATACTCATACTTGCTAGTGTTGTCCATAGCTTGCCATGATCCACACAATCAAAATCCTTTGTGTAGTCAATAAAGCACTGGTAAATATCTTTCTGGTATTCTCTGCTTTCAGCCAAGATCCATCTGAACATTAGCAATGATATCCCTTGTTCCACGTCCTCATCCGAATCTGGCTTGAACCTCTGGAAATTCTCTGTCAATGTATGCTTGCAGTCCCTTTTAAGTTATCTTTAGCAAAATTTTACTCGCATGTGTCTGGTGGGTTTGAACAGCCACTTTGTGGTTAGCAGTCCAGTATTTATCCTACAGTGCCACACCAGGACCCCTTAATTATATATAACTTTACATAAGCTTTTGACTTTTCTAGTATTTATGTATTGTCACCTTAATAAGGTTTGAAACTCCTTTAGGTCAGGTTGCAGCTTCTTGGTAGTTTCCATAGTATGTGTAGAATGCAAAGGTAAATATATACAAGGTACAAGTATACATTTTGATGAATTGATTCATCCAACCACAAGATGGAAATTATATAGTACATAATTATATAGCTTCAACTTACACTTTTGCAAAGGTTGTGAAAATAATTCCTTTAAGTAGCCAATTGCCACTGAAGGTTTCACGAATTAGCTGTTAAATATACTATTCCAAGTACACCTGCCTACACGCAGCCAAGAATATAATCAGAGAGCAGGTTCATCTTTCCAGTGGATTCTGTTGGGATCAGTGAAATCTTGATTAGATCCTGAGGTCTGTGTGAGGGATACTTTCAGCAAGAAGCCACCATAGAGTTGGTTGAGTTGAAAGGCAGAAAAGTATCTGTAAAAAGGAAAGAATATAAATTCTTAGAAGAGAAGGCTAGAAAAGAAGAATGCCTTTATGAAGTAGCACAAGTGGTTAAATGCTCTACTTGCTAACTGAAAGGTTTTGTTTGTTTGTTTGCTTTTTAAAACTACCTGTTTGCTCCTGGAGTCCTGGTACGGCACTCAGGGATAAAGCACTGGTTCGCAAGGTTGGTTTGAACCACAAGATCTGCAGTTTAAACTCCCCAGCCGCTCATTGGAAAGCCTATACTGGGTGGCTATGAGTCAGAACTGACTAGATGGCATTTAACAAGAACAACAACATATGCTTATATGGAGTTCTGGTGTGGCATTGTGGGATAAACACTGTTCAAACTCACCAGCCATTGCTCAGAAACTCTGTACAGTCTGAGTACCTAGAAACTCTGTTCTGCTGTAGGATAAATCCTGGACTGCTAACCACAAGGTTGGCATTTCAATTCCACTAGTTCCTTCATGGGAGAACTGTCAGGCTTTTGCTCCCATAAGGATGACGGCCTTGGAAACCTGATGCAGGGTCCTGTAGGTCAGAAGGGACTTGGTGGCAATGAGTTGGGCTGAGTTGAGGTGGTGCTGTGGACCAAGCATCAGGTTGCTAACTGCAACGTCGGTAGTTCAAATCCACCAGGCATGCCACAGGAGAAAGATGAGGCTGCCTGTTTTTGTAGGTTTGCAGTCTAGGAAGCCCTAAGGATCAGTTGTACTTGGTCATGTGTAAAGTCACCGAGTCAGAACCTGCTTGATGGTGGTGGCTTTAGTTTGTTTTCTATCCGAGTCAATGTAGTTTATGTGAGTGAAAGCATGCACAAATACTCAGCGACCCTATTATAGAGACCTGGTGTGGCACTGTAGGATAAGCACTGCTAACTGCAAGGTCAGCAATTCAAACACATAAGCCACTCTCAGAGACCCTATGGTGGTGGTGGTCATTGTGTGCCACTGAATTGGTTTTGACTCATAGCGACCCTATATAGAAAGAAAACCCTATACGGGTTTGCTGCGAGCTGGCACCAACTTGACAGTATACAAGAACTGTGTTATGGGCACTGGACTGCTGAGCGCAAAGTTGGAAGTTCAAACCCACCAGCCCTCTCACTTTGAATTGGAACTGACTCGAAAAGCACAAAACAACAACAAAACGATAGAGTAAGGTTTTCAAAGCTTAGCCCTAGAAAGTTAAACCATATTTTAATTTTTTTCCATCTTAACCTTAAGCCTTATATCTCCACCAAACAGTATTCCTGCCACCACTTGTTCTAAATAAGCTCAGAAGAATGCCCTGAGGAGTGGTCAGGCTGAGATCATCTCTGAGGTCTCTCCTGGTCTTAACTTGCTGGGTCTCTGGGTGCTGTGTTGCTTCCCATTGGGCAGTGATGGGTGGCCGGGGATATGCTTATGATATCAAAACTCCTGTGCATTAAGTTCACAAAATTACTGTGAGCCATGAGTAGAGGCAGACAGAAGGAGAGAGAAGAAAAGAATTGGCTCCATCTCTTTCTAGAACCCTCCTGCCCATAAGTTACCTTTAGGAAGGTATCAAATGATTGAGCTTTACATTCCCAGAAAAAGCATATGTGGGCAAGAGGCATTTCAGGAACTGGGACAGCCGATAGAGACAGCTGTCTTTAGAAATGCATCATTTCAATAGCATGAAGTACCATCCAATAATCACTGCTAAGTCTCTTCATCAACATCTTAAGATTTTTGACACTATGAAGATCTTAAGACTGCAGTACTTGTTTATTCTTAAGAAGAGAAGGAGCAAATCAGGAAAAAAAAATTAAATCTTGAATCTCTTCTACTAAACCCTACCCCCCTTCTTCCCCCCATCCTTTGCATAATGCAGCTTACTTTTCTGTTACAGTGTTTGCATTTAAACGGAATCACCACTGTCCAGGAGCAAATGTGGTCTGTTCATATTATTTGGGAAAACAGCAGGAGTTCAGGCGATTGGTAGCAGTACAATAGCTCACTCAGGCTACTGCAGTCTTGCTGTAGACATGTTAATTAATATATTTCTCTGACACATAGATGATTGAAACAGCAATTAAAGAGTAATTAAAATGTTTACTTCTTGTAGGAATGTCAACTAAGATGTGGAATATAGCAATTACCTATGACGGATTAGAGGAAGATGATGAGGTCTTTGAAGTAATTCTGAACTCCCCTGTGAATGCAGTTCTTGGCACAAAGACAAAAGCTGCAGTGAAAATTTTGGACTCAAAAGGAGGTATTCTTTTGATCCTCATCTTGAAATCAGGAGCGGTCCTGGTGTTGTAGCTGCTTGCTTTCAACAGCCAACGTGCTTGATAATGCTTCAAATCAAAATGCTTAATTTCTTGTCAAGCAAGTCACCTCGGTCATGATGTAGATCCTTTATTCTGCTTTCTGCTTCATGTGGTTTTCCTCCTGCTAAGAACTCTCGCTCAAGAAAAGCAACAAGTCAGAACCGTAGTTGTTTTTTCCCTCCCCATTTGTTGTTCTCACCGAGGGGGAAGCAACGTTGGTGAGAATCTATCGACAATTATTTCCAACCCCCGAGTAAGTAAGGGCTGTAATTATCTTCCTCTGTTAAAGAGAGCTCTCAATGCTGAAAATCCAAGCCCCCACTATAGTGTGACCAGGAAAATTCTAAGAGAAGCAGGAACTAGAGAAAAATAGATGTGAAAGACGCAGCTGGGGTGGGGATTTAGGGGCAGGTGGAGAATATTAATGAATGACGAGGACCAGCAGTGCCAAACAGATCGTGGATAGTAGATGCTTTGGAAGAGTCTGTGAACGCCCAAGTCCTTGGCTGGTCTTTATTTTGGGAATTTTTTTTTTTCCTGCCAAACGTCCTATAAACAAATGTTCCATATTTGACAAGCGTTCAGTTACCTTGCTCACTTTTCACACCTGCCATGCCCTGTCCCATTTGTACCTTACCTCTATTGTCACTTCTTTCCTTTCTCGCCCTCTAAAAAAACTGAGCACGCTCCTCTTTATAATATTCATGTTTCCACAACATCTCTCCCCACCACCTTTTCTCGCCAACGTAATTTCTTTATCCAGCAGAAATTTCTGCTCACACTAAGGGCATAAAGTACATAAAGGAGTGTACACTTTATATGTGAAGTCTCAAATACCATAGGTGACTTCTAGCCTTAGGTTTTTTGTTTTTTGTTTTTTTTTGCATTCGTTTCCAGAAATAATACCTGGGTTTCCAGTACAATCCATTAAGATTTGGGTCTTGGTTCTATAATGGCTGAATGCTAATTTTAAAAACTGCCACTTGGTTTCACTGTCATCTTTAAACAATCCCAGTGTCCACCTATGGGACTTGAGGGACGGACTGGGTGTTTGGCTGTGCTTGCAGCATGGTAATTGATCAGTGATAAGCCTGACAGATCGAGGCTGTTCCCCAAGTATATGGTCTGGTTATAAAATCATGACAGTGATTTTCATTTGTGGGTTGTGAAATCAATTTCATGACTTTATAATCACCCTGCAAATGTGCAGAAGGGCACAGCCCTCCCAGAGGGAAACTGATGAGGAATAAAGAGATGCTGGCAAATGGCAACCAGGCAACATCTGGTGGGGAAACCATCCATCTCAGTTTAATGACAAGCTGCTCCGGGGGCCGTGTCGATGTGATCACTTATCTGTTTGTGTAAAATGGACTGACCGTCTGCCATCTTGCCTCCAGGACGGTGCCTTCAGTCATATTCCTTCAACCAACACAAGCACAATGCATGGGACCCAGGCTCTTCCTCACCCACCGCCTTGGGCTCCTTCTATCTGGGAAGAAGACCTCTACCATCTTCCAAGAGGCTAGAGGTCACCAGAGGAGATACCCCACAGGACTTTGATTCTATGACTCTTTCTCGAATGAGGCTTAGGCCCCATGGGAATGGCAGAACAGTAAGTCTGGGACCCAGTGGTGTTACTAGGGTGGGTGCAGTAAGCCAGGGTGTCACCCAGTTCCCCCATGGACCTCTACCCATACCAGAATCATACAGATTTCTTATTGATGTTTATTATCAATTTTAATCATAGAATAATATGATACATATAATTATAAATTGCTTAAATGTAGTATTAGTTAGATCTTATGAATGGAGCTCTGGTAGCTTAGTGGTTACAAATTGGGTTGCAAACCTCAGGGTCAGCAGTTCGAAACTACCAGCTGTTCTACGGGAGAAAGATGAGGTTTTCTGCTCCTGTAAAGATTTGTAGCCTCAGAAACCCTGTACAGGGTCGCTATGAGTTGGAACCGACTCCATAGCACATAACAACAACAACAATGAATGTTGTTGTTTTTGTTAAGTGCTATCAAATTGGTCCCAAATTATAGCGACCGTGCATAGAATATCTAGGGACTTCCTGGTGGGTTTGAACTGCCAACCTTTTGCACAGTCCGGTGCATATCCTGTAGTACCATACCAGGACTCTGATTGTATGACTAGTAACAACAAAATTGTTTTACAAAAGTCTTTCAACGTTGACTGATGACATTATTAGTTATAACATTATAGTAACAGAGAGGAAGCCTCCTTTGAATTTTCTCATTTTTCTTTAATTAGTACTTTATTCTAAAAAAAAAAAAAAATTGTTGGTATAGGCTCACATATACTAATTACATATGACTGTAGCAAAAGCACCAGGAATTTTGAAAAATCAGCGACAGTAACAACACTGGCAAGGCGCCCTAGTAGTGTAGTGGGTTACAAGTTGGGCTGCTAACCACAAGGTCAGTAGTTCAAATCTTCCACTCGCTCTGTGGAAGAAAGATGAGGCTTTCTGCTCTTGTAAAGATTTCTAGCCTCGGAAACCCTATACAGGGTCGCACTGAGTTGGAATTCATTCCATGGCACACAGCCGCCACCACCACTATAACAATGTTGGCAGCATGGAGAATCATAGGGCGTGCTTGTGGTACATGCAGACAAAACCATGCGATTCTAAGTATCATTGTAATTGAGTGATAGAGACAGTTATGACCAGAGCCCTTTGTTGTGGTTGTTAAGTGTTGTCGAGTCAGTTCTGCCTCGGTCCAGTGCTTATCCTACAGCGCCACACCAGGAGGTTCAAAAAGTAAGAGTTTTATTTAGTCTTGTAGGTATATTGATACATGTAGGATGGGCTTATAAAAATGCTTTATTGTTAGAACTCACTTGCCGTTGTTAAGTGCCGTCAAGTCAGTTCCAACTCACAACGACCCTGTCTAGGGTTTCCAAGAAGCAGCTGGTGGGTTTGGACTACCAATCTTGTGGTTCACAGACCAGTGCTGATTCTACAGAGCCACACCAGGAGCCCTATAGCTAACTATTGGGAATTTTTTATTAAAAAATAATAAATTTCTGCAGAAATGCTGCACAAAAATCTTACAGTGAGTCATTTTGGTGTCATGCCTTCTGACAGTGTGAATCCCTGCACCCCACTAGTGAAGCCTTCAGTTCAGAGGCCTTCTGGGAGTTGATGAGTTTAGTACATGTCGAAAGAATCGAAAGATATGAATAAGTTCTCAGAAACGCTGACGGAGCTGTTTTGAGTCTCCTGGTGAGTGGGGCTGTGAAACCTTCTCAGTTCTGCAGTGCCTTTCGTATACACAGATCACAAGGCTGCACCACTTTGTCAGCTCTCCTAACTGAGATGATACACGGATTCACGTATATGATTTCTCCCTTGGTTTCCTTCATAATGCAGACGGGAGTAACCAGTAATTATGGTTCAGAGTGAGGCTAAGTGATCCACTGGGGTGTGGAGGCCACGGCTCTGACCTTTCTTAGCACAACGTGCTTACCAAGTGCAGGTTCGTGTGTGTGTGTGTGTGTGTGTGTGTATGGGCATGTGTGTGTGATATATATAAGTGCCAGTGTGTGCATGTATGTGGACATGTGTGCCTGTGCGTGCATGTGTATGTGTACATGTGGGTGTGCATGTACATACATGAGTGTGGTCTACACACGTGTGTGTATGCATGTGTGTGCACGCACATGTGTGTACATGTGTGTGTTTTCTTGACCTCTATGTACTATAAATCCCGTTACTGTCTAGTCAAGTATGCCTCATAGTGACCTAAGAGGGCAGACCCCACGGGGCTTCCAAAACTCTCACGCTTATAGCAGCAGCTTGCCACATCTTTCTCCCACCGAGTGGCTGGGGGGTTGGCCCTGCTCACCATTTGATTGGCAGCTGAGTGCTTAACCACTTTGCCACTACAATTCCTCTCTGTGTATCAGGTTGTTGTTGCTAAGTGCCGTTTTGTTGTTTTTGAGGCATGACTGGTGAGTTTGAACTGCCGACGTTGCTGTCCAGTGCATTACCCTACAGTGCCATACCAGAACTCATAGATGTATCATAGATGTTCATAAAGGGACTACAGTCTTGACTCCATAACTGTGACTGTTAATAGGAGCCCTCGTGGCATAATGGTTAAGTACTTAGTTGCCAACCCAAAGGTAGTTGGTTCAAACCTACCAGCTGCTCTGAGTACTGGCTGTTCCTCAGGGGAAAGATGTGCCACTGTGATTCTGTAAAGATGTTGGAAACCCTATGGGGCAGCTCTATTCTGTCCTAAAGGGTCTTTATAATTATAATCAACTCAATAGCAATGGGTTTGTTTTTGGGGGGGAACTATATAGGATAAAGGAGCTCTGGTAGCATAGTGGTTACAAATCGAGCTGTGAACCTTAAGGTCAGCAGTTCGAAACTACCAGCTGTTCCGAGGGATAAAGATGAGGCTTTCTGGTCCCATAAAGATTTACAGCCTCAAAAACCCTGTACAGGGTCGCTCCGAGTCGGAAGTGACTCCACGGTACATAACAACAACAATATAGGATAGGACTCCTGGTGTAGTGCTGGAGGATCAGCACTGGACTGCGAACCACAAGATCAGCAGTTCAAACCCACTTGCTGCTCCTCAGAAACCTTATACAGGTTCACTATGAGTCAGAATTGACTTGATGGCACTTAATAACAACAACAACATATAGGATAAGCACTGGACCACAAGGTCGATTTGAATCGCAAGGTTGGTGGTTCAAACCCACCAGCTGCTCCTCTGAAGCCCTATACAGGGTCTCTGTAAGTCAGAATCAACTCAACAACGCTTAACAACAGCAACAACAACATTAATGCAGAAAGAAACCTTGGTGATGTGGTGGGTTAGGCATTGAGCTGCTAACTACAAGGTCAGTGGTTCACACCCACTAGCAGCTCAACAGGAGAAAGATGAAGTTCTCTGCTCCCATAAGATTTATGGCCTCAGAAATCCTGTCTCGGGTTGCAATGAGTTGGAATTGACTTGATGGCAGTAGCTCTGGTTTTTGGGTTATTAATGTAGAAAACAACATTAATACATTCTGATTAGACCAGCAACTTATAAAGTTTCAATGATCTGTCGAATCTCAATAAACATATGTCTTTAGAATTTCAAATTATTAAAAAAAATTTCTGGAGTGTTTTTACCCTGTTGTTAATTATTATTCAAGCCAGTTCAGTCTTATCACTGAGGGAAAGTCTAATCATACTGTTTTCTGTTGATTTCAGGTTCGTCCCTCCTCTGTTTATAGAAACGCAACAGATATCATCTATAATGTAAGCATAGTTTGAGGGAATTGCTCTTTTCCTTGTGTTTGTAGATGCAAAATATTTATAGGAATAGTTCAATTTATACATTTATACTTATTTATACATTTCTCCTGTAAACTTGTTTTGAAACTTTTTAGAGGACTGAGTGATCAGAAAGAAATCTTTCACCTTTTGGCTTTGATCCAATTTTAGAATTGCTTATGTTAGCAGCAAATCTCTTGTGTTTGCCATTTGGTACTTTCTTTTTCTCTTTCTTATTGTTGTTGTTGGTTGATTGGTTTCCTCAAGTATCATGGGACAGTTTCCCTGAAACTGGAGGATGCCAGTTCCCCAAAGGCCAAAGTCTCCATCATGAGTCAGCCACAAAAGACAACTGAAGTGGCAGCACTCCCCCAATCAGATAAGGTGGAATCCACAACCGACTCACACTTCTCCAGACAGGTATGGAAATCTTTCTACTTCCTACTCATCTTACAACAAGCTGTTTGCTGGGCCCAAACACACACAAAATCACCTCTAAGCCCAGGGGACAGCGAACTCAACATAAATGTGGCCCACCAAATGAAGACTCCACGTATGTGATAACTTCCATTGAAACCATTCTAAATTGCCTTTCTTTCCCATAGGACCAGTTGCCCTCATTTACAAAGAACTGCACTCTGGAACTAAAGGGCCTTTTCTATTTTGAAGAACGCCTCCAAAAGCTGTACCAGTGCAGTGGGATTTCCTGGAAAGCCTGGAGCCCCCCAACCAAGGTGGGACACAGTCTGAGAGCCAAGTTCTCTTTCTAGCAATGGGCCCTATGATAAGCAGATAGCGAGGCATCAGCCTAGGGCATCATCGTCAACTCTTGCTACCTCTACGTGCCCTCTTTACACCTTCATGACATAGAAGAATGGCACAAATTAGCTTTTTAAAGATCACAAAAATCTATTAGTTAAATCAGTACAGTTTAAGATGTTTTTTAATTTAAAAAATTATATTTTTTCTGTTATTGCTGTTGAGAATACACATGGCAGAACATATACCAATTTAACAATTCAGCATCGTGGTTATGAATTGGGCTGCTAACCTTCAAGGTCAGCAGTTCGAAACTGCCAGCTGTTCTGCGGGAGAAAGATGAGGCTTTCTGCTCCCGTAAATATTTACAGCCTCGGAAACCCTGTGCAGGGTCGCTATGAGTCAGAACTGACTCCACGGCACATCACCACCACCACCACATATATAACTGAAGCGCTCTGGCTCTGTAGGATAAGCACTGCACTGCTAGTCATGAGACGAGCAGCTTGACCCCACAGCCGCTCTGCAGAAGAAAGGGGAGCGTTTCTACTGCAATAAAGATTTGTAGCCTTGGAAGCCCTGTACAGGGTCACTGTGCGTCAGAACTAACTCAGTGGCGCGTATCAACAATAAAATATATAATCCATTAGCATTGATTACACAAGACCATTTTATCCTCCTTATCTGAACTGCTCTTCCCCCAGTGACATAAACTCACTGCCCGTAAGTGTCCTATCTAACCTTTTGTTGTTCTCAGTTTGATTCCATAGAGATTTCTCTAAAAGTACACAGTGGTCAAGGCAAGCATTCTTTGCTAATCGTGGTATGGTACTGTAGAATGAGCATTGGACAACCACCACAAAGTCAGTGGTTCAAACCCACCAGCTGCTTTTAATAAACCCTATATAGGGTCACTATGAGTCAGAACTGACTTGATGGCACTTGACAACATTGTTTGCTTTAAAGAAGCCTTCAGGGGATGTTTTTGGGTTTTTAAGGTTTAAAGATTATCTCAGGGCAAGAGGTTTAGAAGTCCATCCAGCCTCTATGGATCCAAAAAGTCTGGATTCCATGAAAATGTAAAATTCTATTCGGCATTCCTCATGTTTACCTAATAAAAAAAATTATTATAATGTCAGGATGTAAAATTTTGAAACATTGCTGAACATGGTAATGTCCTTTGTTAGAAGCCATTGCGGTTTTTAATTGGGATTAGGGGTGGCCCCATTTCTGGTGACCCAGATGGCTCTGTTCAAGGTAAGGAAATGATGGAACTCCTCATACAGAGGGCAGACTCTAGATTGCAAAGATTGCAAATGATGTGGACATGGATACTGCTTTTCAGGAGGTGGAGGACAAATCCTGCCCCGCTGGGTGGCACCTTCATTCAGGCTACTGCCACGCCTTGATCACAGAGCAGAAACACAGCTGGACCGAGGCTGCCCACGCTTGCAGGGAACAGTAAGAGACCCGATTTCACATCTGATTGCCGTGTCTTCTCAGTTTCAGTTTTCCATGTGTAAAATACAGTGTTATTCATTTTGTGTTCTTTTCTACTGTGTCTCTGCTTTCTCACGGAGCTGTCCAGTGGCTTTATTCATTCAACAAGCACTGAGTGACATGGCCAGGGTTTGTATTAGAGCCTCAGGACGAATCCTGTCATTTGGAATGGATTTGGAATTGATCTTGATGTGACCTGGGGCATATTTTTAAACGCTGTGCCACTGACACAATTCGGACTTTGCGCCTCTTTGCCTAAATATTTTGGAGAAAATCAGAAGCAGCTTATCTGAGTCAACAGGCTTACAGGTTCTGGTAATTTATTTTTATAAGATAGGGATTCCTGCCTAGTGATTTGAAAATGCATAGTAATGAAAGGCCTTTTATTATCAGGATTTTATAGCGGTAAGAGGCACGGATGATTATGAAGCTAGAGGAGCTGGACAAAGATTCACAGAGTAACAGAATACTCAGTGAAGGGTCTGTGGTCAAATCCTGGGAACAGAGTGTATCTAAGCCATAAAGACTTAAAGACTACCTATGTGGATAGCCTGATTCTCCTGCATGCCAACCTGGAGAGTATACTAACAGTACAATTAGATTTATATGCTCCATGTTAAGGAGCCCTGCTGGTTCTGAAGGATAAGTACTGGACTGCTAGCCACAAGATCAACAGTTCAAATCCACCATCTACTCCATGGGAGAAAGATGAGGCTTTCTGCTCCCACAAAGATGTACAGCCCTGGAAACACCATACAGGGCTGCTATGAGGAGGAACCAGCTTGATGGCATTGGATTGGCTTTGGTTGGGGCTCCACGAATAGAAATTGAGACTCTAGGAGTCCCTTGCAAATATCAGATTATTTACATCACCAAATTTAAAAAGTTATGCTCATCTAAAGGCACAGTTAGAAAATGAGTAGGCAAACTTCTCATTTAAGCAAAGCTATTGTCAAATCATGTATTTGATAATCATGTGTTTTCAAGGCCCCAAAATACAAACAACTCTTACAAAATAGCACAGTCCATATCAAAATGGAAAATAATCCAATACAAAACAGCAAATGAGTTGGGTACTTTACAAGCAAAGCTACAGTGGGTCAGTAAGTACATGAAAAGAATGTAGAGAAATGTAAATTAGAACTCAAACGAGATACCGTTTCACATCTACTAGTACCCCAGTGCTTAACCCATGTACTACCAGGGGTCCTTACCATATCCACTCAAAGAGTTTGGGTGTGTTGCTGCAGGATAAGCACTGTACTACTAACTGCAAGGTCGGCAGTTCAAATCCATGATCCGTTCCTCGGAAACCCTAAACAGCACTTAATGACAATAGAATAACAAAAATCATAAAGATTGACAATATCAAATGTTGACAAGAATAGAGAGCCAATGGGCCCATCAGTGCATGATTAGTAGAAGTACAAAATGGTACAACCATTGTGTATAATTATCTGGTAGTCTCTAACAAAGTGCATACATCCACTCTAACAATTCCACTTCTATGTATCGACCTAGAAGAAACAAAGATATGTATTTACATGTAAAAAAGACACACACAAGAATTCCATAGCAATCGTATTCCTAATAATAATAATTTGAGTCATCTGTGCTTATGTTGTTGTTGTTGCTGTTACTGATTTATAGGAATGCTTTATATTTTCTGTAGGATAGATCAATTGTTTTATAAGCAATACAATGGAATTGAACTAGTGGAACTTGCAACAATGTAGATAAATCTTAAAACTTTTTGTTTATAGAAAGCTGGATGGTACACAAAAATTACTTACTGTATTATTATTATTATTATTTCTTTTAAAATGAATGGTGGTGGTTATATGCCACCGAGTCAGTTCTGACACATAGTGACCTGTGTAGGGTTTCAGAGGCTATAAATCTTTATGGAAATAGCAAATCTCATCTTTCTCCTGCAGAACACCTAGTAGACTCGAACCGCTGACCTTACGGTTAGCAGCCCAATGCAAAATTCATTATGCTATAGGAAACATTAATCTTTCATGCTAGAGATTAACATGATCTCCGACAGGGATCATGGGTAACTGGAAAACACAAATCATTGTTTTAGAGAGATAAATGTTCTAGGTATTATTCTAGTGACTTTTACATGAGCGTGTACACTTGTCAAAATTCATCAAATTGAATACTTAAAGTCATTCATTTTAGTGTATGTAAATTATACTAGATCTTTGAAAAACTAATAAAATATTTTAAAAGTATGTTTAAAACTGGACAAATCAGGCACCTTTTTCTGTACTGATGGTTTCCATAATCAAAGGTGAGCACAGGTACTATAAAATCAACCAGTGACCTTTAGTTTTTTGCTCATCAGATGGTGGTAATTTAAATATTTAAAACAATTTATATATTTAAAATAATTATTGTTTATATACATAAGAGATTAAGTCAAAAAGAACTGCTACAAAATAGAAAACTTTAATAAGCAAAACTATCAAAATGGGAAGCTATTGGTTTTCAACATACCCTTTTGCTAGGTCCAGAAACTTCTGAAAGTGCTGTTTCTATCTGTCTAACTCTTCCCCTAATGAATTCTGAGCTCTTCATGTTACACCTTGCCAAAACGGCAGTTTTGGAATCCTCAAGGGATTCAAATTATGTTTCTTTTACATGTTCTTTGAGTTTGGGGAGTAAAAAGAAGTCTGAAGGGGCAAGATTAGGTCTCTCGGGTGAGTGGGGCAAAGTTTCCTAATGAATTCTCACAGGACAGCCCTTGCTACCTACCCTCTGAGAAGGAGCAAGCACATTGTCGTGATGAGGAAATACTCATCAGTACAACCTTCCCGACCCTTTTCCACCAATACAATTTCCAACTTTCTTTAAATTTCCCCATAATAAGCACCTGTGATTATCCTGTATTCACAAAAATCTATCAAGATTACCTCTTGGGAATCCCAGTAAAGCCGTCACCAAAGCCTTTTGAACCAACCTCTTTGCCTTGCGTTTAACTCTCCCTGCGGATCCCTTTGGAAGCCAGTGATTTGATTGGACTTTTTTTTGAAGGCACCCTAATGAGACTAAGACAAATGTGTTACAGAGAGAACTTATTGGCAGCCAGACACTGATTACCGAGACAGGTTTACACACATTTTATTTGGAATAACCCCATGTGTGTATGAACAGGAGCTCGAGTAACCACACTTCTTGACTTACCCTCATCTATGTCCCTCATGCTAGAAGTTAAAAGAGAAAGGACACACTCTTTCACCAAATAACCAGATATCCTACTTTAACACCTGTCTCAATGCACAACAATATAAATTGCCATTATTTCATATATATATATCCTTTTTCCTCTTCAAGGGAAGGATTTTGATGGAGAATAATAATAATAATAATAATTTTTTTTTCAAATATCTGAACCAGCAAGGGGGAAATTGGAACCTGGCTCTTCCACTGACAAAAATGAGAACAAGGGTAGTTCCACTCTAACCCAGGCTTACCAAGATCACGCTGTTCCTGGGGTTTGGTGTAAATGACAGATGAACAGAACAACAGGACCCTCAAATCCTGAGGGGGAAGTAGCTTTATTGCTCATCTTCTGGTTATTCTCAAAGGGCAACTCAAGGAACTGTGCTGGCCTGTAATAAAGTGTCCACTGGGCCTTAGTGTGGACAGAACAGTATGGATTGAGAGATGTCTGTCATTGCTGCATAGAGATGGTGTCTTCTCAGAGAAGGAGCATTTTTATTCTGAGACTGTGATCTTCTAGATATTGTGTGTATGTTCCAAAATCTTTTTATATATGTATGAAATAATGGTAATTTATATTGTTGATGTCCTCATGTTAATAACTCCATATCAGTCCTCAATAGCTTTTAAATTTTTTTCTGGTCAAGTTAATTACAGCTGGTGATGATGAACACAAAGAGTAACAAGGGGCTCTTTATATAACTATGAATATTGTAGAATTCACTCAACTCAGGAATAAATTAAAAACCCAAATGAATGGAAAAGCCTAGCTATTTCCTCATGAATCAGCCTGAGTTCATCTGCAGCTTGGTTTTTTGCACCTTGATACCGTGACCCTGTTACACAAGCCTGACCTACTTCCACAGGCCTTCTTGCCCATAATGCCATTTAACACTTTATAGATTACAGAATTCCTTCACGTATGTAAGCTTATTGGATCCTCCCATCACTTCTGTGAGGAAGCAGGTATTATTATCTGCATTTCTCACCTTGAAAAAAAAAAAAGAGAGAGACTCAGGAAAACAAAATCACATACGAGTAAAAGGAAGGGACAGGGCTTATTTTCCATTAGGCCATTTGCCAAAGTATAGCCCCATAAGTATAGGGAATGCCTCACCCCAAGTTTGTCAACAATACACCTATTTAAGTTTGTATTGGGATAACCTAGATTTCACATTTCAAAGTGATGTGTTACTAACTGTACATCTCTTACAGCACAGACATAGTAAGATGTGTATTAAATTAGGAGCCCTGCTAGCATAGTGGGTTACTCATTGCGCTGCTAACTAAAAGGTTGACAGTTCAAACCTACCAGCAGTTTCACAGGAAAAAGATGAGATCATCTGTTCCCATAAAGATTTACAGTCTTGGAAACTTAATCTGCCCTATGGGGTCACTGTGAGTCAGAATCAATGGCAGTGGCTATGGTATCCATTCTAAGTTTCATTTCTATAACAATCACACTAATGGAGTCCTGGTGTGGTGCTGTAGGATAAGCACAGGACCAGAAGGTTGGTTTGAACTACGGGTCAGCAGTTCAAACTCACCAACCACTTCTTGGAGATCCTCTACAGGGTTGCTATTAGTTGGAACTGACTCAACAGCATTTACCAACAACAAGTGGCAGGTCAGTGAAAAAGAGGAAGACCCCAATGAGGTGAATTCACACTGTGGCAGCAACAATGGGCTTAAACACAAGAGCTGTGAGTCTGGTACAGCGCCAGGCCGTG